GCCTCCGCGGCTGGGGTAGGACGCAGCGCGGTGGCTGGGAAGGCGGCGGCTAGGTCTGCAGGTTGCGCAGTGGCCCCTGGAGAGCTGGCGCGTCCGAAGTCCCAGGCAGGTGGGAGGTCACCTAGAGCTAGCCAGGGGAGCAAACGCTAAGTCCTGTTCCTTTCCTTCCCTGTGGCCCTGAGTACGGCACAGCCTTCACAGGCTTGAGGGAATCAGCATAAACTGAAGCCTTCTTACTTAAAGGCTTAAAGGCGTCAAACACTTTAAACCTTGCGCACTGCTTGGTTTTTTGCACCGTGTCTCCAGCATAGAACTTGCCATTGATATTCCCTTGCTTCTATTTGCTAAATGCCTGGTGGCTTATACCAACGTAGCTGCAAGTAACGCCGCGAAACCTTGCCCTTGGCCCAAGGCCACGTGACACTTTGCACGTCTGAGATTTAGAATCCTATCAGTTCAGTCGTTAATTGTTAGCGTCTCCGTTTTTTCAATCTTTGGCCCTCGCGAGTCCTGAGCTACACTAGCCCTTATCAATCACATCACGGACATGAAACTTTGCAGGCCTTCTACATACTTGATATTTATTTGGCTCGCAAACCAAGAACCTTGAACGGACCTTCAACCACAGGCCAAAAACGATTGGTGAATTTGCCAAAAGATAGCAAGAAAAAACACAAACGCTAAAGGGAAGACATGAAAAAGGCACTTCAACAAAACATATTAAAAACATAAAATAAAACATAAAAGAGAACATAAAAAAATCATAAAAATATCATAAACCAAAAAACACCACTTTGTAAAAACATAAATAGAAACATATTGAAAACATAAAAAATCATTAAACAAATAAATTTTTAAACCAGTCCTCTTGGCTACATCTAAACTCACAAAACTATACAGCAGCTCGGTTTTTGCAGCGGCTGATAAAAAGGACACTCAACAGTTCACCAGACCTCCTTACTCCTTTTCATGTTCTACCTCACTTCATGAGTTTCCTCCTTGTTCTTTCGTTGCGCCTTCCCGCAGCCATTTCCTGTCAAGCCACACCTTTCCCTCGCCACCACCACGTTCTCCACCATGGATGATGAAGCACCAGACTAGACCCGATCACCGTCACCAGACTGGTCAGTCAAGGCAGACCCTTACCTCGACACCAAGGAAGAGTTGAAACAAGAACTTAAAGAAGAGCTCCCTGACAGCTCCACCAATGCTGCCGCTCCGGTTGGTACGCCACCTCCAAAACAACCCCCAGCCTCTTTTCACCGGTACCGCAACCTCTCCAACAAGCCTCCTCTACCTTCCACCTCCATCAAACGACCTTCCTCTTCCTCCCACTCTAAACCCCCACAACCACATTCACCAGCACCCACCAGCAGCGAAGACCCAGTCATTTATGTACCAACGTTCCTATCCTCAAGAAAGCCCGTCCGGACCAACCTCCACATCGTCTCCAACCACCCACACCAGCTCCGCCTATGCCATCCTCTACCACCACCTCCAGCACAACACATTGGGCTCGAGATTGCTGTGCCCCGCCCGCATTGCAATGGCAAACCACTGCCCTACCGGCTCTTCCAGGGCTCCGGCCCCACTGAACCCTACACCACTCGCCACACCACCACATCCATTGCCGCTTCCCACACCACCACCACTACATTTTCTCGCACCACCACCGGCATTCGATCCGTTCTACTTTCCTCCTCCCACCCATCCAGCACCACAACCTCTCTTTCCTCTTCCACCCACTCCAACCGCTGAAGCCACGGTAGCCCATCATCAGACCGGCTAGTGTTTTTCACCCCTTACAAATCTCCGCATTTTTTCTCGCGGACAAAATGCACCGACTGTACTCCTTCGTCTTTTCTTCGTTTTCCTTCCTTTTTCCCTTCCTTCCTTCCTTCCTTTTGTACGCTCAAACCAAAAAAATATCCCTCTCGCGTGATCAAGACATTACTTTTCATCCGCAGCCATTTCGCAACCAGCTATCCACTTTTTTGCTCCCTTCCATCTCAGCCATGAGTGGTCCACCACCACCTGCAGAAGAGGGCATCGATACGAGTTTCTGGGTTGGGCTTATGCCCACCAACCAGGGCCTTCCGTTCCAACAACAGGTGCCCATATCACTCAGCCAACTCATTGAGCGATACCCCACCCATATGAACATGGCCGAGGCCCAAGTGCGCCGGGCCGCCGGGCCCTCACCATTGTTGACACCATCGGCCACTTCACAGCAAGGGCTTTCCTCCATGACCCAACAATCGACATCAACACTCACCCCATCGAACCACACATCCACCCCATCTTTCCACCTCGCTCCCGGCCAACCTGTCACTATCACCAACAACATTCCCTATTGCCTTCCCACAACCACCACCTATTACACAACACAGCACCACCCAAACCTCCCCACCACTTTCTCCTCTTCGACCCCATCAAGAACAGCAAGCCACGCCTCCACCACGCCGCTTGCACATTCAGCAACAGACTGACGGCAACGTTGCTTTCACCCAAACAACACAGTCCCACATCACACCTCCCCTCACTCCCGACACTCCTTCGCAGACCGAGATTTACGCCCTCCCACTCTGAAGGGACATGCAGCAATAGACTGCCAGCGATTTTTGAAGCCGAAAACACTGCCGACCACGCTCCACCTGCGCCGACGACGGCACCGTGTGTGTGCCCCACTCTGTTTCTCAGAGTTCTCTCTCTTTTCAAGCAGGGGGCCAGCGGCCGACAAGCAAACGCTGGCTAACAAAGCTATGCTTGCTCGGTGGATGCGGTCAACTATGCGGTCAGAGACGTCTGACCGTGTACCTGCAAAGAAACTGTTGCTCAAGCTGTCCACTCTCTTGTTTGTTTTTCATGTTCCTTTTCATGCTATTCCCCTAAACCTTCCCCTCCGGCGCGTTCCGCTGACTTTGAATTCACAGCTGCAGTCATGCGTAAACTTTGTTCAACTTTCAATTTGACCTGACCTTGCGCCTTTCCGTTCCATCACCTTTTTCGACTTGGGAACTGAGCTAACTGAAAACCCATGTCAGAGTGAGGTCTATAAGCAAAAAATCTAAAGATCTAGACGCATTGGGGTAGTGAGTGTGGGTGAGTGAGTGGGTGTGAGTGTGAGTGAGAGTGAGTGAGAGTGTGAGAGTGGGAGGGTGAGTGGGTGCGAGTGTGAGGAGTGTAAGTGGGAGTGGGAGAGTGAGTGGGTGTGAGTGCGAGTGTGAGTGAGAGTGAGAGGTGAGAGTGAGTGTGAGTGTGGATGAAAGTGAGTGTGAGTGGGAGTGCGAGTGGGAGTGAGTGTGAGTGTGAGTGTGAGCGAAGAGTGAGTGTGAGTGTGAGCGTGTGAGTGAGTGAGAGTGAGGGTGAGAGTGAGAGTGAGTATCTGAACAAAGTGCTGCGCATGCGCCGACATCTGCACTGGGAAAATCACCAAGTGCTGCGCCTGCCACGAAATCTGCACTTCGAGGAGAGGTTCACCACTAGTGCTGTCTGCCACGAAATCTGCACTTCGAGGTTCACAAAATACTGCGCCTGCCACGAAATCTGCACTTCGAGGTTCACCAAGTGCTGCGCCTGCACTTCGAGGTTCACCAAGTGCTGTGCCTGCCACGAAATCTGCACTTCGAGGTTCACCAAGTGCTGTGCCTGCCACAAAATCTGCGCATCGAGGGTCACAGAGTGCCGTGCCTGCCACGAAATCTCCAAAAGTCACGATTCACATGATTCACTGCACCTGTCTCTGAGCTCCTCGACGATCACCACCATGTCCAAAGTGCTGCACCTGCCACGAAACTGCACTTCGAAGTATCCGATCCCATGCACCTGTCACGAAAAGTCGACTTTGAAGCACGAAAACACGAGGTTTCCCTTGCGCCTGCCATGAAAAGTGACCATCATGTGCAGAAATGCGCACGACACCACAACGAGAGCGCAGTCGCTAGAAGCACCCGCCGCGGGCCCCCAAGGCTTTGCGAGCCTGCGCAGTCGAAATGCACGTTGACGATGTCGAGAGGCATGAATGTACTGTAATAGCAGCGAATTAGCATGAATTAGCTGCACACGCCCGCGCGCTTCAGCGATCTAAGCATCAGCTGCCTTTCACGTACCGTAAGAACCCCTAGTGTGTCCACACTGTTTGGAGAATAAGTCCAGAAGTAGGTTTGGCCCAATGACTTGATTACAAATCGACTCACTGAGATAGAAGTGGACAATAACCCCTAGCAAGACGTCGTTTATTCCAGCAGCGTTGGGGCGGTTCCTGTTAGTCTAAGCGTACCTCCAGATACGCTGGTCCCATCCTTCAGTCTGGAACGGAACACAACACAGCCGACTTCTGGACGCGCACCTTCGCCTGCAAGATCCTCCTCAGTAACCAACGGCCTGGGGACAAAGTGTCCAGTCCAAATTTGACTGAACGGGACATGCTCGCGTGATCCAAAAAGGTCTTGCAAAACATCGAATGGCCACGGACAACCCGACGGAGGTCTGGCTTGATGCTTCGGACGGGCCCTTTCTGTCCTATATCCTTAGGTGCAGCGGCAAAATGACAAACAAAGCTACCAATGTCAACCCCCTTCCAACTCCCAAACCCTGAAGCATCAAACTCTGTGATTCTGCAAACCTGTGGTAGCAGGTTCCAAGCAATCTGCGAACCCTTCTTCAAAGAACCACATTCCCATCCTCATTATACAGCTCCAAGCCAACCCCAAGGTTGAGACTACTTACAGTGTATAAGTCAACTTGAAAACACTCAGGAAGCATCCCAGTTCACTATACCTACAAACTCTTTGAAATAGACCGCTGGGGCGGGCCCCTGCCCTCCCCTGCCTACCGAAGACCATACACTCGGCCAGGCCAATCCGTGACTGACCGGAGCGATCCAGCCCTTCACGACAGGGCCTTGGAACGAGGTGGTGGGCACGTGTCACCGCATTCCATGGCCATATATCAAGGGACCAAACGAGAAGTTCCAATTCATCTAAAAACAAACCAAATTGAAGGTAATTTTTCATACATGGCCATATGGCTTGGGTCTCTCCTATTACCAGGGCCTCAATGGATGATGATGGTTAGGTTGTAGGCCTTTCTCTAAAAAAGTTATTTTCTTGGTTGCTGACTGTTACAGGTAATGGGACACACTCAAGCCATAAAATTGCCATAATATGGCATCTCACTAATTAAGTCCCTACTAGCCCTCAAGTTTGATCTCATTTTTTGGGCTCAAAATCAACCAAGTAAGAGACGGACAACTTTTGAAGATCATGAAGAAACAGTGGCTCTGCTTGGTGGTGCCCCATGGATGGAACCAGCACCAATGAACCATCTCAAGCCAGCATTCCCATGTCCAGCGGCACGCCAGCCACTGCCGGCAAGAAGACGCCCGCCGAGGGACCTGGCGACCGCTGGGCTTTGTAGAGTTGTAGTATGTCGGCTGTGGTGGAAAGCGCCTTCCGAAATAAAAAACAAAAAGTAAACATTCTCAAGATTGAGCAGCTTTGGCCATGATTCCAAAGTTCATAGATTCATTGAGGTCTATGAACAAGGCGACTGGCTCTCACGGTTTCTTTTGTGCTTTCATGTGTTGGTCTCAATTTTGTGCTAGTTGTGACCTTCTCAATCATTCTTCGAGCACTCCTGGTCGAATTCAACGTAGTTGGGTTCACCGCGCATGGTGTTAGTAGTGGGAATTCGCGCAAAAGAAACACTTTGCGAGTGGCCTCCTTCCCTTCGGATGGTGATGTTGGCAGCCAAAGGCCGCTTTCTCCGAACATGCACCACGCACATGCGACCCTAGCCTTGCAAGCCGAGCAAATAGCCACCCTCTCGGAGGGCCACCAAATGAGCGGCTTCGCCTCGAGGCAGCCAACGAACCGCATCTGTGGAACCGCAAAATACAATGACATCCGAAGACCAAAAGGATCCAAAAGGTCTTGGCTCACCTCCACATCTTTCTGATCCATGCTCATGCAGCATGTCAATGAAAAACGTTGCACATACTCTTATCTGTATGTAATTATTCACTCCTTTAGAGTGAATTTGAGCAAAAGATGAAACTGACTCCTCACATTCTCCCCATCTCTTCGGGCTCAATTTGCTCCCGGTTAAGGAGAAGGCGAAAGGGCTTCCATACCACAAGGGCATCGAAGGTATCACTTCCAGGTGCCCGCTGCGCGCAAGCAGCGCAATATTCGGGCAGTTCTCTTCTCCGACGACCGTGCCAAACAAAAACGGGGGTGTTGTTTAAGTCTTCATCTATACGCTGGATGAAAGCACAGCGGAATGTCGAGCGCTCAGTCGCTTGGAAGAGTGTCTAGGCAAAAGACTCAGGTGGACTCCTGCGGCCCTAGGGCATCAACAAATGAAGCAGCTTCTTGTTACTAGTAGTAATGCCCTTTGTTACTAGTAGCGATGCCCTTCATCCACCTCATGCAACCATCATTTTGAAGGTTTGAGGCTGCGCAACTAGGAGCGCTGAGTCTCAACAAAAGTAGCCACACGATCTCTCAATCCTCCTCACCTCCAAAGGCGATGGAAGAACGTCGACCGTCACCTCAAGCGAGCAATCTTGATTGCCTCGAGCCTGTCGGATCGATAGCCGTCCACCAAGTAGAGGCTCCCACTCTCGGCAACACGGAGAAACCACGTGATTCCAGTTTGCCGAGGTACTTGAACAGCAAAGCATTCGGCCTGAGTGGCTGATAACACCGCTCATGGGAGGAGAAATGACCGGGGGAGTAGGCCGAGGTAGGCTAGTAGGCTAGCTGCCTGCTAGCTAGCTAGGTAGCTAGTAGGGAGAGGTAGCTACACCTACCAGTAAGCTACTAACTAGAGAGGACGCAGGATAGCGAAGACGCTTCTTCAAGGAAGCTCCCCAGGGGAAGCATCCTTGAAGAACCGCTCGCACTAACGGTTAGCTGGGCAGGTAGGTAGTAGAATCAAAGCTGCACCAGGAAAACCAATTCATCCACCTGTTAGTCTGGGCAGGCCCCATTCCAAGCTTCCTCCTATAAAAACTACCGCCACAGCATATAACTAACAAAGCTAGCAGTGAAAATGATCAAACACTATCAAACACCAAGCCCTGGAGAAACGGACGTGTGGCAAACATGAACCAAACAGAAAACAAAGTACAATCCATCATCACCTGGTTAGATCGTCGTGAAGTTGCGTTCATGTATGTGTCCTGGCCCCAGTGCTCTCTGATCTAAATCACTGAAACGAAGTAAAGTGATCGAGTCTTCCTGCGTGAACTGGGGCCTCAAGATCGTCCTTTGCACGGTTATACAACATGTATCTCTCTTGGGTTGGGACGAGGGTAACTACAAGGGCCCGGATCTGTTCAAAAATGGTGAAAAACAATCCTGTCTGTGCAACACCGTCTGTGCAACAATACAAAACCTATACTAGATACATGCTGGAACATCATCTTTTTAACATGGAGCATTGGACAGTTGTTCAGTCAACTTGGCTGGACTGGTGCCGCTACTTTGCCATGTCCCCAATCGATGGTGCCCTGGGCGTCAAAAAAACTTGATTGGACAAGGCCTTTCCAATAGTTGTTCGAACAAAGGGCAACAAAAGACATCCAAACAAGGTAGCCCAAACAACGGACTCCAAAACTAAAGCAAATCCACAAGGCACAAGAAAAAAACAAGGCAAACAACGGCAAACAAATGCAGGGCGCTGCAAAATATATCAACAACAGCATCCGGCATCGTGAACACACACCGGATAAAAGGCGGAGAAATGGCTGACATCAAGGCAAACAAAGCGACCCATCCTTAAATCATCCTTGCTCCTTTAGTTTTCATGCCTTTATCCGTGCGCTTTTTTTGATTTGCATTTCTTCGGGTTTTTCTTGTACTGCTCATTGAGCATTAGCAAAAAGAAAACTAACCACGCGCAGTTCAACGCACATTTTACATAATGGGTAAAACTAATAGCAAGACTTCCATCGGCTTCGTCACGACATCACATGAATCACGGATGCGCGGATCATCTTCCAAGAACTTCAACCGGAAGCACCTGCATATCTGCATATCCATACCATTCCATACCTATTGTCTCCAGAACCCATCCACACGGCAAACTTGCACAGAATCACCAAAAATAAGGCTGCACACCCAGGATCACCCAAATTTAGCCAGGTATCTGCTGGAAGGCTTGTTCCAAGCGTTCCTTCATGTCATTCGAGAGTTTGGACTTCTCGTCATAGCTTGCCGCCTGGTTCTCCGCACGCAGCTCAGCAGGGCTGCTAGACGAGAGAGAGAGCTGCAGCAGTTGCCAAAGCCGATTTCTGTCCTCGAAAAAGTACCTCAATGCAGCGACCAAACCTGTGAAAGGACAAAGCATCGTGCCACCATATACTGTACACGTACTGTGTATATTTTGTACATACCAAAAGAAACTTGTTAAATGCATATACATAAGAGCCACATGTGAGTTAGGACGTGCTGGTAGTGTTTTGATATATGCAACTGTTCTGGATATGTTTCTTGCTTTGTTGAATAGCTTGTAGGGCACTGTAAAGTCTCTCTTTCCTCTGTGCCACCCCAGCCGCCCCCCCCCGGCGCGCTAGCATCAGGTGAAGACATATATAGACCCAGTACCAATACAAAGATGATGGAATACTGAATCGAAAACATTCAACCTCATACAGGCCCAGTACCAATACAAACATGATGGAATACTGAATCGAAAACATTCAACCTCATACGCACAACCAAACATACTAGTTATTCGCTTGTTTACTGCACATGAGAAAAGAGATAAAAACACCTGAAACATTTGAGGGGAATGCTTGGCTCGGCCTCAAGCGCATGTTTCCTCCCGTGTTTAGTTGCTTGTTTGGCTGCAGTATTCGGAAAACAACACCCTGTACGCTGTCTGCTTTGACAGAAGAAGAAACGCAATAAAAGTAAGAAAAAAACACAAAACATCTCTGAGGCTGAAACCAAAGACAGTATATATGTTCCTCATGTTTCCTCAGAGTCTCCCGTTTTACAGGATTGTAGATGTTTAAGGGCATGCAGCACAACCTATTGTGACCGCTGCTGCTGCAGCGCATCACCAGCGCAATGACAAACACAACAGCGCACAAGAAACCATGAGACTGACAACACGCAATGACAACACCCGACTCAGTGTTCCCGCCATTGGCCCGATCCAGCGGTCGCACCAGTGGGCGAACCCTGCTGGCCCACCAAACATAACATTGGAAAATGCCTGGTGGCATTTGACAGCAGAAGCAGCTGAACACAGCATTGTCACAGCACGCATTTGTTGGATTCCGGACGATGCTAGTGAGCACCTGCCCTGCTAATTACCATCTTGTGCTGCATGGGATGTGTAGGACCGCACCAGGTCTGCCTCGCAACCTTGCATCAGGTGATACTGAGCCCCCGTCAGTGAATTTCCTCGGGTCATCGTCATCCAAGGCCTTCAGAAGAGGTCTGTAATGCCCGAAGTGAGATGGTGTGAGTGACCAGCCAACTTCACAGCTAGCAAGTTTGCAGCGTTTTGCCTTTTCACCCTGAGCTCCTGGAGGTCGCTTCGACATGGTTTGAAGCTGATCCTTGGTTCCTTTACGCGGCTGACACCCAGTGATGATGAAGCCCGCTACTGCCTCCATAACTCAGGATCCAGCATCTGCATCCTTGTCGTTCAAGATTTTGTCAGGAGGACTTGTGTCGACTACATACTACAGCCATGTAAGTGGCCCTGGTCCGATTCAATGCCGTTCGGCTTGCTTCCAGCTAGGACTGAATGGCCTTCATCTCCTCCAGCAAGCCCTGGTACGTCTTCTTGGCGAGGTCAATTCGTCCTTGTAAGTGTTGCTTCTTCTGAGAGAAGTCCCTCAGCTCAAACACTGGTTTTTTCAGCCATCCTGCATCCTTCTCCGTTTCTGACGGCATGGTGATCTTCTCCATCTCTTGGACCGGGCTCTGATGCGTTGGAATGCCAGCACTGGGTTTCTGACGGTCACTTCCTAGAGAGGCAGAACGGTCCTTTCAAGAGCTCCGCGGTAACCCTTTGGATCTTGATTGGGTTTGGGCGCTTTCCCGGAACCCAGACCAGGAGGTGGTGCCTGCGCGCATGGGTCCTTACTTCTCTAAATTCTGCCCACGAATGGTCTGCTGCACACGAATGACCCCTTCCTGAACTTCAAATCTTACGGTCGGTGGTTCACAAAACGTCTACTGTACTGCATTGGAAAGGTTCCTTCCCCCTTCAAATTTTGCACTCGCGTGGCTCACAAAAGGCAAGCTACATTGCAATGCCTCTTTCTGCCCGCGAGTGGCGCACAAAAGGTATGCTACGTTGTAGTGGCCCTTTCCCGCTCCAAATTTGTCTTCGGATAGCGACCCCTTCCTCCTCAAACCCTCGGGGGGCCTCACAAAAAACATGCTACGTTTGAACAGTGGTCGTAAAAGGTATGCTATGGTGGAACGGCTACTGCCTGCTCTAAACCTTTACCCTTGGGTGGCTCACGGAATGGCCCTATCCTCCTCAAAATTTTGGTTTGGGCGGCTCACAAGGTAAGTAGTTTTGCGAATCATCACGAAAGGCCTGCTACGTCTACGTGGTTTTGTTTTTGCCTGCACTAAACTTTGCGCTCGCGTGGCTCACAAGGTATGCCACATTGGAACGGCCCTCTCCCGCGGTTGGCCCACAACAGATATGTTGCATTGGAGTGGGCCCTTCCTGCTCTACAATTGTTGTCGGGTGGCTCACAGCTATGCTGTGTTGGAATTGCAAGTCTTTTGCCTATAGCCTAGGACGCTACTAGGGGCTCCTGGCCTTACTACTAGGAGCAAGGATGCTACTAGGGGCTCCTGGCCTTACCACTAGG